GGGAAGTGCGGATTTGACTCGGTACACTTCGGTCAATAGAGCGGCGTTGTCTCCTTCCTCCTGAACCACCAGGAACTCGCAGTCGAAGGGAATGTTTATATCGAGGAATACTTCTTCCAAAAGAAGTTTTGTGTCCACGAAGAGCAGCCACGTGGCTTTCGACATGCGCACCTTTGTGGAAATCTAACGAGTAGATATTTTTCGTTTTTATGTACTGATATTTCATCATGTTCTTTCTGTGTGCACTTATATCACTGTACCTCTTTCAGTCTGCTCTTTTATTGCAAATAGAAAATTGTTAACAAAAGCGTGCTTTTCAAAGTACAATGAAAGAATATGCACATTTACGTGGTTAGTATCAAGTAAGGCAGTTTTCCTCCGTAACTTGTTACATAGGCTTTACTACTCTATCCTTCAGACATTTATTTATGGTATGAGACAGTATTTTATTTAATTGTGCAAGAAAGTGTTGTCACTGATAACTTTATTAAAAGGCTACTCTAGTTGTCTCTAAAAAAATTCGTTACTTTCTTCTATCGCAGTCATATGTGTAAGTATTCATAAAATAAATATGGCTGTCTTATGGGTTGTAGCACCTTGTGGTCTGGTAAAGTTTGCTAACGTTTCAGAGGTCACTGCCGCCTCCACCATCAGGGCGCTAAGTTTTCATCGCCCTGATAATGGAGGCAGCAAGGATCTCTGTAATGCTGGTAAACGCCTAGCAGAATGTACGGCGCAACAACCCGGAAGACAGCCATCTTAGTGTTCACAGCCGCTAGAATCTTAAAAATATTTACTCATAAAATGTCTGAGGCATCATAAGTAACTCCAATACCTGGTGATAATATTAAATCTAAACTGAGGCTGAATGCAATGTGTGAATTTAGTTCTGAGACCTTAAAGAGGCAGCAATTCAAAACATCTGATTATAGATATGTATATAATCGTTTATAACAAGACCTCTGCTTAAGATATGTTAATTTCTGTCACTGTACGTTGTCACGTAAGTTGTTCTTAATTTGTAAAGGTCAGGCTTGTTTTTGGTCTTACCTGAGACAAAGAATTTCTACTCATTTGTTCACCGTAAGGAAACACGTATAATGGCCTGTTCTGTCGGCAATGTAGTGCGTACAGAGACTCAAGTAGGTTGGACTTGTACAAGGTAACTACTGACACTTGAGATTCCATCAGCCCATTCACAATTACTTTCGATGTCACATGTTGTCGCAGTTCTGCAAACACCATGAGAAATCACTTTATAGTGAACTGCTTTGAAATTCACAGAAATTACAACGTGCTCGTAGGTCTGTAATGAAGTTTAAACGTGTACACCTTGGTAAGGGACGAAATATGTTCTTGTATTTCAATTAATTCTGAGATTACAGGACATGTGAAAGCAGTACAAATTAGGGCAATCGTATGATTCCAGGGAATTTACAACTATACAGTACTAGTACCTACGTAGAGCAGTGAGATTTGTCTTCAAGAGCTACATGAGTACTGAGAGCAGAAGTTAATATTTAAAATAATACACGGAGAGTGGAATAATAACGCAGAATCCTTCTTGAAAAGCAAACATCTGAGACAGTCAAGAAATTCTCTGAATTTTATGGAATAATTACTCAAAACACTTAAAATCTTAATTCTACTGAATTATGCATTTTTATGGAGTGGATTGAATATTTTGCTTTAAAAACAATTACTTTCTGTGTTGTTGTTCATATTCTCGAAGTATAGTTTTCACAAATGTTTTGCCACTAGTGAATTTCCCTCTGTTTTGTAAATGTTGTTATTGTTGGCGCAGAGTAATAAATATTTATTTGCTAATCATGCTGTTTATTCAGCTTAATGACTGAATTGATTTCTTTACACTTCCTAAAAGTGTGGCCATGAATATGGCGTGATCTTAGGAAATATGCTGGTAGATGGTGCTGCTGTCTTAAAACTGAAACGTCTCTTACACAAGGGAAGCATTTGTTCTAGATAGTAATTGTAATAGGCATAACTGTATAATTATAGAATATATAGCCACTGACAATTATTCATATTATACTGAATTCACTAAAATACTGTGATTTAAATTGATTTCTGAAATGTTATTATGGTTTTAACCTTGTGTTGACTAAAGAATATTTCTCATAGTAGAATATCAGGGTGTTTGCAGTAAAACGAACTGATAAAAGAAAAATATTTTGGTTATAAGATGAGATTCCCAGGACTTACCGTTGCCCTCATCATTCAGAAGGCAGACACAGCCCGATCGAAAGTAATGTTTAACTGCGATCACAATATCCACCAAATTATTTACGCTGAGAGCTGAACATACCGTTGCCACGAAGAGTACAGGTAATATTATCATGCTGAAGCCGTTATAAAACCTGAAAGTATCGAAAATAATATCAGTGCGAAAGAATAACTTCAACCTGATGTTTGCGGTGCAATGCAATCAAGTACTCAAACAAATGCATACATTGTCATTCATTGTCAACAATATAGCGTTCATGTGTAAGCCAAACAATTTATATCACATACCGCAATTGGCGATTGCTATGACTGCACGAAAGATTTTCTTCATTGCAGTTAGCAAACGAACTCTACTCATATTTATCATGGAATCATAATAGGCTACCCCAAACAGCTTTACTTATGGTTTTGTCTATAATATAGGACTGATCAATGTCTCCAACAAACTTATTCGAAGTCAAATATCACTTGACTGTTGCCTCTGTAGTATATAAGGTTTTTGAAAAATACATGCATTCCGTAGACAGACTTGCGTAACACGAAACGTGTTAAATTATACGATACTGAATACACATATTTCCAGACGCGTTAAAGATGTCTGTCTTCTGGGTTGTTGCGCCTTGTAGTCTGGTATATTTTACTGACATTTCAGAGGTGCTTATTGCCTCCATAATCAGGGAAATCGCATAACAGCAACCCAGAGTATGAAGATATTCGTGGGTGATTGAAAAATGTCGCCCAAAATTTAATTCTGCATTGTAATAATAAAACTGTATTTTATTTGACGAAATCTTTTTTCCTTGTTATATAGGAATACCATAATACGATGCAAAGTTGGATACCTTCGATTGTGGTGTGTGATTTTAACGGCCTCTATTGTATGAATAAGTTTTTAAAAATATATCATACATGATTCAGACTGCACTGGGAATTATCTTTCTTCATCTTATTAGTCAAATAATGTAAATTCCAATATATGTATCAACACTGTTAAGAACGTGTTCTACCGATATAGAGGACATCATTATTTCTTGGGCAATGTCTGACAATGAAACTAAAGTGTCCTATGCAAAACAACATGGGCTTTATGGACGACAACCTTCTGAGTTGTAACACCGTGTAGTCTGGTAGAGGTTTGTCAGCGTTTCAGATATGCTTGCAACTTCAATTTACATGGCGCTCTGATGCTGGAGGCAGCAAGGACCTCTGAAACATTCCTAAATTTCTAACAGACTACACTGCGTTATAACCCAGAAAACAGCCATAAAGTGCAATACTGTTGCTATTTAAAAGCTTTATAGACAACTGAATTCATGTATTTGTGCAGTATCAGTGACAAAAGAATGCGAAATACGTGAACTCCCTTGGACCACAAATATCCTGTCTTGTTTAATTCACTGACCGTCGGAAATAACTTTTAAGATTTAATGTCTTTAAGGCTGTTGAACAATCAAGGAATCAACGTCTGGTAAGATTTTCGGCGGATAAATGCACTAAAATTCATCAGAGAGAAATGCACTAAGTCTTAGTTACTTTATTACTTGAAAAAGCTGCATACAGAATTCACGTAGAAGAATTCATTTGTAAATTACAGAATGTCGTATTAAATTATCCCTTGCTATCATGGCATGGGACGTCCTTAGGTAGTCGATGCAGGACAGAGCATTCAGATGCTAGAATCTCCAATAAGTACTCGCGGACAGCCGACGAGGGGTAATCTAACAGCTTGGTGGTTACCGTGAAACTGAGAACACTTAAGAGTAAAAAAGAGTATATTACTCAATGTCAGGTAATATTCCAGTGGCGGACTAATTTTATTCCTTCGTATTCCAAAATAGCAGGCAATATCTAAGCCGGCTGAGTAACTGTACCATTTCAACTGGGACCCAGTTTCATAGAGTAATTAATTAATCAGCTCGAAGGCATAAAATAGTGAGGAAGCACTTGCGTTATTTGTACTTCTGTTTATGATTGACCTGCATAACAGATTGCTGTGTTCTTACGGACTATAACAATAAAACAAACTTCTGAGTGTGTCTGTCACGCTAGTAACTGGGTTAAGTTTAGTGTTGTGAAACGTCTAGTCCATTGGCCTTGGGAAAGTTATCGTAGACTAGTTTCCGTTCGTAAAAAAGATAATGTCTGTTGATCCAAACATGTTGAAGGGTTTCAAAACGCATTAACAAGATCTGCACTGAGATTCTGTCATATGTGAACACGCCTGCTGTATGATGCAGCATTTTAGGTTTGGGTTAATCGATACGTGATACAGCCTAAGATTCATGATTTATTACCGTCACTAGATATAAACATTTTCACTTGCGTGCATCACACAGAAGAGAACTGTACTTATCTCCTCTCTCTTTTAACAGGCTCAGGTATTTTAATATCCTTCCATCTTGTGCTTACATAGAAAGATATTTAAAGTTTAAATTTGTTATAAACATTTCATAAAGTAATTATATTTACAGTAAAATTAATTACGCAGATTCGTTATTGTACCCCACAAATGTGTATCTCCCACCAATGAACTGCAGTAGTCAAGTAGTCAGTGTTAGCTCTGCTTGAAGTAAAGTCTAGGCGCACATACTTCTCAAGAAGAATTCTTACGTAGTAGATCTTGGATTACTATTACATTAAGATTTAAAATTGTTAGAGTTGTATATCAGATACGCTAAGTGTTAAAGATTCCTTGCAGAGAAGCTTCTGTGACTAATGTTCCTAAACATACTGATGTTGTCATTGTTGTTCGCGAGCTGTCTGGCACACAATTTCGTGGAGGTCCTGACAGCAGTGCAAAGTCACTTCCGGTCTGGTTGCGTCTTCTTATTACACGAAGAAAACAGTAAGTTGATTTTTCACGTTTTATGCATAACTCGTAATGAAGAATAAAGCAGGGCTTCGTATCTCCAAACTGGTAAGTAAATGACAACATGAAACACTAGATTTTAATCACTGTTTCGTTCCTATTTACAAAGGTTTCCCTCATTAGTTAGTTAATTGCTAGTATGTTACTAAAACTGCACTGTCATACTCTCGAAAAAGAAAAGCAGGAAAGAAATTTGTTTTATTCAAATTCAGCGGAATCTTTCAACACAATATTAGCAAACGAATAAAACTAGAAAACATTATTATTTCATATTTGAAGAAAATGGTGTAAATTTATCATTACATTTATATTTAAGCCAATAATAAATTTAACAAATGTTCTTTCAGGTTTCCTGAGAACTGCTGCAATTGTTAATGATCTGAAGTCCTTAAGAAGAAAACATATACAGGCAACAGCTTTGTTCAAGGCAACTAACACCCTCGAATGTCAGCACAATCGACCACTTTACGTCATTCGATCCACAAGTGCAAAATATAAAACTTCAATCAAATCGGTACATTTAAGCGGAACCCAAAATTTGATATTACTCTAATAGTACTACTAATAGTAGTAGTAGTAGTAGTAGTAGTAGTAGTAGTAGTAGTTAGTTAGTTAGTTAGTTATTTAGTTAGTTAATTAGTTCGTTCGTTTGTTAGTTGCTTTTATTTTCATCTCAACAAGTTACCTTAAAATTGCATTTCTACACATTATATATTGTACTGTTGTTTATAATTCAAATTTTGTTCAATATATTAGTAACTAGCTACGCCCAGTCTACGCCAATAATATTTCTTAAATTAATCTCAGTTTCTAAACATTGGAAGACAATCGTACGCCATATGGTTACTTTTTCTGGACAAGAATTCTCATCTTGGGACGGTCTTATCTAACATTAACATTCCTTTCGACTGCGAGTTCCTGGTGGCCCAGGAGGCGGATGACCACGTCGTCGTCCTGACAGAAGTGTATCGTGTTAGCCCCTCACTTCCCCTGCAGACATATCGCTTTGGTGAATGGACTTACCGTGAGAGACCTAACTGGCCCACTCTCAGTTTTTATCAGAGGAGAAATAATCTTCAAGGACTTCTATTCAGGACTGTGTTTAGTGAGGTAAATCAGTTCGTTTAGCTGAAACTGACGTTTTGTGCAATGACTGTCTTTTTTGCACAGAATACATTTTATTTTGGAACTTCTTTTACAGAAATTATTGAAAGATAATTTTAATAGTGGCGGAAGGGACTATTTCTTTTACCGAGTTTGGGTTATTCTCTCCAATGTTATGAACTTCACGTAAGTACTTTTATTTATCAAGCAGATTAGAAGTTTTTTTCGATACGTACGGCGTAGGATGAAAGCTTGAAATTTATTTATAAACATTTTTCTTGATCTTCCGTCATAATAAGAATATAAGTTGATTTTATCTTAAAAAAGCGTGTAAGTGACTCAGTCGCCCATAAAAAATTGGCAAATCCGTATTTTATTTATTTAATATTCATTTCAATATAATCGTTCGGTCTTCAAATTAATATAATCTCTTCAAATTTTGAGGCTGAATTATTATACAAATTTCCCACCTCTTTCATTTACTATGCATGACCAGCCCATATCATTCTTCTTGATTATGATTCTCTAAGTTTTTTCTAGAACTTAAGCTATTCTTAGGAGATACTGAGCAAAAATCCGTAATTTTTAATTAGAATTGTAATATATTATTTATTTACATTCAATTCAAAATAGCAATATTTATCACTAGGCATCAGATGGAGTTATCAATATTGTGTTCTGTATGTTATCAGAATCGAATATTTGCCCTCTGAAATAAACGGAAACGGTGTGTTGCTTGACAACGGTTCTTGGAACGGCGTTGTGGGCATTTTGCAGAGACGGGAGGCAGACGCCTCGATAGAGAGTCTGACGATGACATCATTACGGTGGAATGTGGTTGATTTATTATCGCCACTATGGGTTGACAGGTGTAGTATTATAAGACAATGATTTTTTCCAGAACATACCACAAACTAGCTCATAATTTTAATATACATTGGAGTAAACGGTCTGGTACATAGCCAAATATATTTTGAACACATTTTACTTGATTAGGACACTGCTTAAATAAATTCACACACTTTTTCCATACAAAAATATGGTTGGTTTGAATTTAGACGTAAGCAACAACAGAAATACATATGTATGACTCTCAGTTGTCGCTTTTAAATTATATTAGTTTATGTGTTACTTATTTATATTATAGACAAAGAAGTTACAAAAAATCACTATTTTCTTCCCTATAAAGTTTAATTTTATGTCCACAGAACGTGAAAGTATATAAATTTGTTTTTTCTGATTCTTCCCTTCGACTAATATTTTTTATGAATATCACATTTCCCTAAGTGTTAAATCTGTCCCACCCACCTGATCCTCGATTAGATCGTAACCTAGTAAAATTTTCCAACGAGTAAAACACATGAAGTCCCTCTTTATAAGATTTTCTTCAACATCCTCTCACGTCAAATTATCATCCTCAGACTCGTTCTGTCAAACACCTCCAATTGTTTTATTCCCTTGTCATGTTTAAAAACCATATGAAGTAATACAATTTTATATGTCGAATACGAAAGCAGAGTATGGCTGTAAAAATTTGGGTCTTGATAGGCCTAGTAAAAGTAAAGTTTGTCCCACTATACGCCATGTAGGCGTTTGGGGTGAGTGGAGGTATAGCTCCTCTCTTCCTTGACCTCGGCACTAGATGGGGGTGAGTGGTCAGCATCACGCCCCGGCCGGCTTTACCCCCGGGAAAGGACCTCGGTACCCATTGTATAGGAGGCTGGGTGGGCCCCAGAGCCGGTCTGGACGCAGAGGCTAGAGGAAAAATCCTCTGTCCCCGTCGGGGATCGAACCCCTGTCTTCCAGCCCGTAGCTAGTCACTATACTGACTGAGCTATCCCGGCTCATGATAGGCCTAGTACTATATGTAAAAACGAATAGCAGACATGAGGTTTCTCAATGTCGAGACACAGAAAATATGAATTCATAAAAGTACATACAAATCGGTGTCAATTTCTATTCCAGGAAATACATGTTCATCAAAGCGGCAACCGAATTCGAGCTATCATGGTTGAGCATTTTTTATCCTTTCAATTGTCCTCTTTGGTTTGCCTTAATTGCATCGATTCTCCTGCTTTCTACCTGCCTCGGTATTATATGTCAAATCTGTCATAGAAACACAGAGTTTAGAAGAAACGGACTTTTACAGAATATTTGCAATTCATTGTTTTTCATCTTCAGCGTCTTCTGTGGTCAAGGTATGTACATATATTATAGTACTCACTAGATATATAGAATAAGAAATTCGGAGATAAAATATTTTTTTCTGTTCCGAAACAACATATCATAAATCTGTATCGGGAGAGTAGAGATGAAACTAGATACATGTAAATGATTAGCTTCACGTTGCGACAGACTTAATTCCGGTAATGACTGTTTGGGCCACAGAGTTGGTCACGAAGAAAATCATGCCCCTTCATGGAATCGAACTCGTTCGTCAAATTTTAGAAATAGAACTGACTAATAAAAGTGAAACTTAATTCAGATTTCATGGTTTAAAAATGTCGAATACAACACAAACTGGTTATCGCTACGTCAACAAATTTAGAGTTTTGTTTTGAATACGTCAGAAGCATAAGTATCCCATTTCAAACTCACTTTTACTTAATTATTGTTAAATTAAATCATTTAAATAAAAATAAGTACTAGAATAAAGTAGGCCTGTTCCTACACCGTCCACCTCATCCACAGTTCCATCTCAAATTTTGTTTTCTCCGATGCTGTTCAGGCGAGAAACTGGGCCTCACAACCACGTCCATCATGGTGGTGTGCGTCTCGACGGACTTGCTAGTGGTGGTTCTTCTAGCGTCCTATTCAGCATCTCTGATGTCCTACTTGATAGTGAGACGCCCAAGGCTACCATTCCGTACTTTCAGCGAGTTCTTGGCGGACGGTACGTTTACCCTTGGGGTTCATCGCTTCTCATCTCTGCTGTCATTTTTTGAGGTAATCACATTTGTTCGTATGGGTTAACTTACAAACAACTACACAATATGTGACATGGGTAAAGGAGTATACGTCCAAAAATGACAACCGAAGCCTATAATTTGAGAAAACATACTGGTTTGCAAATTTATAAAGGAAAAATATTCCGTCACACACAACAATATATTTTCTACTAAAACTGAAAATTACGAGTCAAATTGCTTGCCTCAAGGAGGTCACACGCTACATCATTTCGAATTACTTAGTACCAAGACTAGTCATTTACATCGAGATATTATAGAATTCCCATAAATAATTCTGAGTCAACGTTTACGTTTTTTAAGCTAAAACGACATCAAAAGCTTAATTTTAATATATCGTCATAATTTGATAATGTTTATTTTATCTACAATAATAATAAAATCTACGTCTCTGCTTATCTTTATAATATACCACAACCTTAGATATTTAATGCAATTTCGATCCTTATTGTTCATATCTCATCATTTTAATATAACTAACATCCATTTTACCCATAATATTAAAGGACACTAAATCTACTTATATATTAATACGCCACACGATAAAAGACTTATTTAAAATTGTCCAATCCAAAATATATATGTACTAATTCAGTAGAGGCATTTCTGTATTTGCACACCGAGGTGTTGATGACCATGAGGGTTGAAGCCAGAGGCTGAGTAAGTTGATAATATATTGGTATTGACGTTGTGTTGACTGTCGTCATTTTAAGTTTATTATTAAGAACGTATTCTATGTGATGTTCTACTTAAAAAAAATAATAAATTGGAGGACACTGCTATTTGCCTGTATGTAGCCTTCAAAACATTGCTCCATATGTAAATTACATAATGTTGAAGATGTGGGTTAAATCCCCAACAAAATTTTCAAAAATTGTGACAGATCAGAATAACCGAACTATAGTAGTCATAACTAGTAAACCACTAATTAGGAAATGGTGACGTTCCATATCAATGTTTTCTCGTATTATTCACCTACAGACGACAGAAGACCCTGTCATAAATCAGCTGTATCTAAGTCACATCGCTCCGCACAAAGATACACTACCAATGTCTCATTTGGAAGGATATACAAGAGTGTGTTCCAGTCATAAGTATGTATACATTCACTTTTTGGAATTCCTGGAGGACAAACGGAATAAGTTGAAATGTGAGCTGACCATCGTTCCTGGGGCGTTCTTAACGGTGACAAAAAGCATAGCACTGATTCGAAACAGTTCTTATCGAGGCCTCTTCAGATACAGGTGAGCTATCGTTAAGGGAATACCAAACTTATGTGCGCAAAAAGCACATCTTTATCAACTTAACGGGAGAGAGACAAATAAATCCTTCCATCCCGCGACGTCAATCTCACTTTACACTGCATCTAGTAATCTTTCATTAAACCGATCGAGAAGTATAGGATAATTTTTCTGCTGTCAGTACTTACGTATATTTCTCGCACGTATCTAATGTAATTATGTAAACTACATTAATGAGGTACAATATACAAAAGTGTTTATTTTTACTTTGTCCATCGTATATATTTCAATAATATTTCTGTGTTTAGGAAGTTGAATCGTCTTCATCTTTTAATGAAATCTGTGTTTCTGAGGATGATGCTTTATAGCCTGTAAAAGTGGTATTTTGGACTTTGTTCATAGTGCATATTTCAATAATATTTCTGTGTTTTGGAAGCTGGATTTTCCTCCGTCTTTCGGTAAAATGGGAAAGATAAAAACCCTAGATGTCCAGTATTAAGGATTCCTCAAACAGGGGCCCAAGCGCTAGGGTTTCTGTCCTTCCCCCTTCCAACATAAAGACTGAAGAAGATCCAGCTTCCAAAACATAGAAATATTATTGAAATATGTACTGTGAAAAAGTCCAAAATTCCACTTTTACAGGCTATAAAATACCATCATCAAAAACCTTCATATTTCATTAAAAGATGATGGCATTATCATTAACCACAGTTTTGTTGGGTATTTTATTGGTTGTTCAGGTACTTTTGAGAATGTATGTCTGTGTAAACTGTTGCAGTCTGACTAAATTAAGACGTAACGGAATCTTGCAACAACTTCTATACGTCACAAAACACGGAAATGAAGTGCAAGAAACTCCTTTAATATCCATGGATATGACGTCATTAGCACCAATATTTACAGTATTAGCATTTGGATTGGTAGCTACCATATTGAGCATCTCACTGGAGTTCGCGATACACAAGTGTAAGAAGCAGAAACAAACAAGTTACAGAATGGGTAATGACTGGGTACTTTAAAGTATTAAGCTATTTTATGAGTATGTTCAGTGTTTAGAGCTCAATTACGCCTACGTGCCAGAAGAGGGCTTTTTTCCATAAAATAATAATAATAACAATTTAAAAAAATCAGTAATAATCAGTAGTTTTTTTCAACATATTACATGGCCGCAATATTGTTTTAGATCGTGCAAGAAATAATTTCCTTTACAATGTTACAACAGTTTCTAATATGAACTATAATTTAGACCTGCAATACAGAACAAAAGATTCACATGCTAATATCATTCCCATGTCAGCTGTTTCACGGCGTCTAAGTTTATATAATTTGATGGTAGGAAATTGTAAGTTGAAAAGTGACGTTCAATCTAGTGGCAAGTTTGATGAATATCCGTCAAATGTTTAAAAAATTGTTTCTGGAGAAAGTTTATGGTTACACGGTTTGATACTGTAAAGCTTTTTTCGTTACAAAGTTGGGCCTAAGAAAAGATGAGGTACTCCAGGCTAAGGAGTAAAGCACACTAAATAGGAAAATAAGGTCCGTCATGGCGCTGAAGCACTGAGTAAGTTTTCCTTTGAGGTAATCTGTTTCCTGTTAATCATCGTACTCAATCTGTTACCACCCCATGATAAGCGCCTTGCCCCTGACAAAGAATCATATTGTCATACCCTCGGTCTACACTTACGATGTTCGCATCTTCCCCGTCCTAGCGTTGCTCGATCGCAGAGACGTATTTGTGCCAATTTGTTTTGATTTAGAGATCCCTATGCTATCATGTTTTTGTACAGAATGTTCAGAAAAAAATACAACCCTTGGGCAATCACGTCATTCTAAATTATCACCTCCCTTTCTGTTTCAGTGAACCCAGTTAAACGACTGGGTTCCACTTTTTAAGAAATGTTATTTGTCATTTAAAGATGCATTACGAAGCCACGCAGAAGGAATTTGAACAGCTAAATTTTTCAACGCGATTACTACTTTTTTACGTACGACAACGATATTCTTGACCTGAGGAAGAAAAATATTGAACCGTCCAGACTTAAGTAAATACAATCAATTAATGAGATTAAATGAAGAGCATAGCGGTTGGAACGCTGGCCTTGTAATCCTGGGGTCTCGGGTTCGATTCTCGGCGGTGCCCGAATTTATAACTTATGTTGGGCAAGGCCGTGGTCTAGGCAACACGGAGTTTTCCTCCGGGGGCTTCCGCGGTTTCTCCGTGGCATCCCAACAATTACTCCATTCACACACAGAAGAAGGCAATGGCAAACCACTTCTGGATCATCTGCCAAGAACGTATATGAACAGGTCCCAGTCCTTGAAAAGGATGGAAGGATCCTGTTCATATGGACCTGTCGTCAGACAGAACACTAAATAAAAATAAATATAAATAAATTAAGTGATAGCTTGTACAGCAGTATTGCATTCGTACGTAACATGCAAAATAGAACAAGGAACTTATAACACGAAACGTACCTGATCTGAGGAAGTTAACCAACAATGTCAGGCAAACGGCGTTGAGCTCTGTGACTGTTGATCGGTGCAGTGTCTGAAGATAAGTCAGAAACGAGGTAGAACAGAGAAAGTTGGTAGCAATGAATACACACAAAAGATACAGTACTTGAATAGGTTTACTTTAGATAAATGGTCGACAATTTTCCAGTGACAGTGATAAATGTATCTTTTTAGGTATATTCGAAAGTCACTTTCGTTGTTTCTAACAATGAACAAGTTTATTATTAAGCATGACTAAGTGTGTTTCGTGCCCTTTATTTACCCTGAAGCTGGCAGTTAAATTAATAAAAAAGATAGGACTAATAAAGATATCAATTTAGGAGATAATTTTTAACAAGTGACACCAATTTACAGAACTTACTGCTACAACAAACACAAAGCGCTGTGTCTATCTTAAGATTATTCTTGTATTGTCAATACATTCTAATGCATACAATTGTACTTTATGACTCCGGCATATTTGTAAAAAGATAGAAGTATAATTAATTCAGTTGTGAAAGTTTGCACCCATTTACTCGATGGAATAAATACTTTAAAACTCTTTGGTCCAATTACAGAAGAGTTTTATTAAATTAAAATAATGTGTTTATTGTCATAATAACTCCTACTCTTTTCTCATAAAATGTGTAGCCTGTGTGTCCATCTGACAAGAAATTGAAACAAAACCCTTCTCCACGCTATTTTATAACATAACATAATCTTGTAATCTCAGGTTATGGTTTTTAAGTTATTACGAAACCAAGAAAATTTACGTTTGCAAAGCATCTAGACCTAATTATTTTCTTATATATTTTATTCAAATTATCTAAACCAATATACCAGAGTATCGGGTGACAAATACGTGTTAATTATTATATCACTAAAACCTCCTAAACTAGAGTATCGGGTGACAAATTCGTGTTAATTATTATATCACTAAAACCTGATATCGAAATTATCAATAAATTTTACGACCCACATGTTAGGGAAACTTTAGGGGGCTGATATATTCTTTTGTTTGTCGGACTTCGGTAGTAAGTATATTGGCAGGGCAGTTTTGGTGAGGAAACAGTTGATCTGGAGTAGGTTTAAAGAGTTAAAATACCTGACTGTAATGTGCTAAGGTCTACTGACCCCTTGGCCCATAAGTTTGACTCAATAGATCAGTATTAAATATAGGTTCGTTCCACTCTTGAAGCACAAGGAATATGACATTCAATTAAAAATGCTGATATGAAGAGGATTTATCTGATTTTCTTCATGGATACAACATGTTTTAGACTGACAACAACAGTATTAAGAGATGAGTACATTTACGTCACTATCCTTTGTATGAAATTAATTTCGTGAAGAGTGAATCAGAGTCGTCTTCAGTCAGAAGCAGTTAACGAATATTTCATATAGTTAAATTATTTGTACCGCATTCCAGTAAGAAGAAATGTTTGTTATTCACTTTTATGCTTCAAGAGTGTCAGATAGTATACACAGACGGATTCACTTATTCCTTAGAGTTGAAATGTGATTCTGAGTAAGATTACAAGTTCAGTAATCCATGTTTTGTGGATTAATACATTTACTGCGTTTGTGAGTTGTATTGTAGCCCTGTATCGAACTACCTCTTCCATGCTACTATAATGTGTACGAAAAATGTATTTTGGAGGGGGGAATAGGATTTACATTCTTGTTTTCTTTGAATATCTTCATTTTATCTGACACGCCATGATAATATATGCATAATCTACGTACTGTATGATTAAATTGACCGTGCTTTTGAAATATTATCCATACTATAATTTTCTGATACACTTGTGAAAGTTTCCTAATTTTCAGCACAAAAAACCTTACATAATGATTTAGACCAGAATGTTCATTACAATGTTCACAAAAGCCCAAAACTAGTTCCTAGCCCTTTAAGTTAAAACATTGTATTAGACATCCATTTCCGCCTAGGTTTTTTCAAGTGGTCTATGCCTTCAGGTTTTCCGACATCTACTTTGTAATTTTCACCCAACACTCACGCATATTATATATTCTGCCACCCATCTACTATTTTTCTACTATAAATTCCAAAAGTTTAAAATTATCAAAACCTCCTACAATTTAAATAAATCGTGATTCTTTGTTCTTCACCGAGTTTTGTTATAACGGTCGCAGTTGGTAGGCTGTATTGAAACCGCAACCAGAACGTATTATCATTCACTCTTTGTAGCCTGTACCTCATTCAAAACAACTTCCTCAAATCAAAGTAAAATAAATTTACCAGCAGCTGTCTATCTATCTTCCAGAGTTTCAAGTATAACTTTTATAATTGTGAAAGTCAAATTTTGAAGAAAAAATTGTGATGCTTCTTATTTATTTGAGAGTGTGGATCCAAATATCAATTAATTTGTTTGTGCAACTTTAGTTATACAAGAGAAACTGCAATTTTTCTTCATATTTGAAGCCGAAAATCGTCTAAATAATATTTAACATCTGAGTTTGTTTCATTACAAAGACCAATTAGTTTAGTTTATATTTATATATAAGGAAATAATTATTTTTAAACTGAGAATCGTGCAAAATCCACATAGACAAATGCAGTTATTGATCCGTAGAACTCATGGTCCGCATGGTTTCCGGTGGCTTCAAAGGGTTTATTAACCTAACTGAATTGTAGAGTGCTGCCATCTCTCCGATGCAGTGACGGTCACTCCTGCCAACATTACGGCTGCTACGATACACAGTAATGGTAACAGGTCTCGAACATTGACAAATACATCTGCATCCTCTATGTTTCTGAAATCGTCAAAGTAGAATCTTTTATATACTCGCTGCAAAATCCCAATACTGCAAGTAGCTGAATCCTGTAACACAAAAGTCCAGACATCATAAGAAATTTAACAATTTCGTTATGTTGGCGTGATGATATACGTAGTGTTACTCGTGTCAGTTGGTAGTTGATGTAAGTTACGTGCCGCTTAAATGTAGTCAATATAAATAGTTTTTATCCAACAACTAAGTTTCTTGATTAGTATGATTTAGTGTAACTAGCTGCTTAAGGCTGAATATAATTACAGTGTCGGACAAACAGGTATGGAATATAACTGAGCGGGATGCACTTAGTATTATTAACTTAATTACAAAATTTAGGGAGCATGTAAACTTTGGGACAACATTAGTTGTAAGAGGTCTCAACTAACCATATGCATATCCGTATTACTATTAAATCTTATAGTCTGGGACAGTGTATTATAGACATATTTAGACTTACAATTAATGCAACCAGTTTGTAATTAATAATAGATAGTTTGCTTCATAGGCCAAATTTGCATTCGCAAATACAGTTCTCATTTGAAATCATCAGGGTTCTGTGCAACTATTTTTCGAACCTGAGGTTCAAATTTTTAAACATGTCTTATGAAGACATCTTCAGCAGTTGTTCATACATGCTATAATAGGCATATTCATCGCCCTGATGACGGAGGCAGTATGACCTCTGAAACGTTGGTTAACATCAACCGGACGACACAGCGCAACAACCTAGAAGACAGAAATCTTCTGTTTATTTTACTGTAACACATGCAGTTGATAATTTTCAAATCTCAGCTGACCTCAGTCCTTATGAATATCAGACTCCTTTATGGAGCCGTACATTTCAGTGAGGGTATTATGGTTTGATGTGGATGAAATGCTTATTATAATTTGCCATTTTTTATGGAACTTCATCTGATGGATAAGAGTTATGTGAAAATTATTAAACACATACTCATTTTTACCCAAAAGATGAATCAAGTTCCTTTGAGACAGATAACTTACGATATCAGGGTTTCATAAATATTTATTACAAGCGAGTAGTGATAGTGGAGGGGATTGAAGGTGTTTGAAGGTTGAAGTCTGGTTAACCTTCTTACCAACTGAGCTCCTGTCACATAGAGTTGTGTTTAGTTGTAAATGGCTCACAGGATGCAGCACAATAGCACTGCGCTACGTAGCCCACTAGTAGCATTGCAGTTACTTGGTTCAACTCTTAGCCAGTATCTGAGTCAACACTGTGGACCGCTTTCAAGCAGTAAGCTGCGTTAAAAAAGGAAGATGGCTGTTTTCTGAGTTTGAGTTGTAGTGCCATGTAATCTCATAGAAGTTTACCAGCGTTTCAGATGTTCTTGCTACCTGCATGCTCCGGGCTCGCTTTATGTGTATGTAAGAACTAAACTAGTTAACTAGATGGTTCTTCACCGAACAAACCAAAGCCCTCCACCGGACCCTGTCCTGGGCCAACAAAATCCAGTTTCCTTCAACTCCTGTCTCCCATAGATCCCGCCTGAGATTATCCTCCCATCTACGTCTAGGTCTCCCCAGCGGTCTCTTTCCTATCCTCCTCAACACCCTGTTCTCAAACACCTACAATCTGTGTTCCTCCCTCTGAGTGAGAGACCATGTTTCGCACCCATACAAAACAACAGGCAAGATTACTTTTTTGTGTACTTTAATTTTTAGGTTCTTAGAAACCAGACGGGAAGACAAAATATTTTGAACTGAGAAGTAGCAAGCATTTTCGGAATTTAGTCTCCTCTTATATCCTTGTGAATATAATTTTGGTTTATTCTTGTATGCTGACGGGATACTAACATGTACTTAGTTTTTTCTGAATTTATTTCTAGGCCCACCTTTCTAACAGCTTCTAGTAAAACTTCTGTCCTCCTCATTATTGTATTTATATTGTCAGACAATAAATTAACATCATCAGCATACGCCAATAGCTGATGTGCCCCATTCAATTTGCATGTATAAGAACTTTATTACAAATATGGTTTGTGTCGATTGGTATAGTCACATGTTCTGGCCTTTTTAAACAACTTTAAGTTCTGTGGAATTAACAGGTCCAGTCATACACGAATGTTTATAAACACAAGTAGGCCTGTAAGACTTCCGTAATCAGTTCATTTAAATGTGTTTAGCAGATATGAGCGTGGTCATTAAGTTGATTCTTGTTTTATCCTGTACGCCACTTTTGACATAGTCTGTTCATATGAACATCATGTTTCGGACTAATGTGGTTCAACCTGATGATAGCCACGTTGTTCTTAAACATGTCGTCCAGTGATCGGAGTGTGAAAAGTAACTTGAAGGAAAAGTACAAGAATTACTCAGAAAGTGGGTAAGGGCGAATGTTTGTAATACGTACACCTTACTTACAAATGACTTTTTTTGCCTTTTTATAAAATAAATATACTTACTTCTTGTTTACTTGTTCCTCAATAGTCCGATTCGTATTATTAACAAATCACATTTATATATCCAGTCATTTATTTTAGTCGTTGTAGATTGTTTCTCCTTTCGTAGATAATAACATTTGGCCACGTGAGGACGCCAGAGGAAGTCCAGTTACCGAATTGCTATATCAGAATAGGAATATCTTAATTTATTTGTTATACTTCAGTGAAGGTGCTGACTATCGTCTTTAGGATACGCCATCAGGACCTCTCACTCGAAGAGAAAGTAAATGCCAATGAACATCTCTTCCAAGGATAACAGCCCGTCTAGGAAATGCGGCCAGATACCGTCAAACAAGTTCACTTCTTCAGGTAACTAAAACAAATTGACTATTGCGTATGGAAATATAGAACACGGTGATCTATAAACAAGTTAGCTTGTGCGTGTTTCATTAGGCATGTAAGCCTACAGCACTTGTTACAATGTTTTAGACATCGAGGTAAATAATATCTTGCCGTTTAGTATGAATTAATATCTCATCTATTATTTTAGCGGATAGTAGATGATGTGAGAGCAACATATGTGCATTATGTAATTTTCGTTTATAAATATTTGTTGACTCAAAATTACAATCGTAAGCGATCACCAACTTACGAATAGCTGTTTCTTAGTTTGCTTAACTTTTATTTATTTATTTAGTGTTCTGTCTGACGACAGGTCCATATGAACAGGATCCTTCCATCCTTTTCTCGGACTGAGACCTGTTCATATACGTTCTTGGCAGATGATCCAGAAGTGGTTTGCCATTGCCTTCTTCTGTGTGTGAATGGAGTAATTGTTGGGATGCCACGGAGAAACCGGGGAAGCCCCCGGAGGAAAACTCCGTGTTGCCTAGACCACGGCCTTACCCAACACAAGTTATAAATTCGGGCACCGCCGGGAATCGAACCCGAGACCTCAGAATTACAAGGCCAGCGTGGCGGTCTTTGCTTAACTACCATCTAGCAATTACTGTACTTATCAGTAAACTAGATTACTACTAGAAACTGTGAAGGTTGTACTGAAAGCCACAATGAGCAATAGATAATTTTGAATTATGTGGGAACTCGTCTTTGGTATGAAATCTGATATATGGAACTATAACCCACAACGGACGACTGTGTTTGCAGTGCAAGGTACGACGATAATCAAAAGTTAGCTAAGAGACTGGCAGCTGCGATTTCTGTATGACATTTTTAATTCGTTGTATATTCCATGTTGTCGTAGTTCTACAAATATAAACCTGTACTTTTAGAGATCGCTGAGAGTAAACGCTATAAATTTCACTTCCGTTTATTTTGTAAATTATAAGATAAACAGGCAAGAGTTAATTAATTAATCATATTCTGAAAACATACGCTCATGTTTTTATATCGTCTGCGATCTAATGCTGCTCTTTTGTGCACGACATTTGTGGTAACGCTTGCGTAGTGTGTGTATGCATGTATGATATCGTAGTTTTATTGTTTAGCAACATTCATAACGCCAAGGATCAAGGAACGCGTGTGGATATTCCGTGTTCAGGTATAGATTGCAAGAGTACATTCATTTTTGCGTGCTTCTGCACACACTATTGAGATTTGCATTATAGTTAGGAAGTTCTAAAGAGTCAATCTTTTGATACTTTCAAGATGACGTTGAAGACAATATTTTATAATCGGAAGTTCGTGGTTCCATCATAATATGGGCATAAGTTTCTTGCAGTTTAGTTTAAAATAAAGTTTTGTTGCGTACGGTACGAGTGTATTACATTTAACATTTATTTTGTTTAATTTATTCTCATGTTTCAATTAAATAATGAGAACAACAATAAAAACTTGAAATACAGTAGGGATTCTTTTTACTCATAAATTTACTTTCTGTTGGCAGACCATTAACCCTTTAAACCGCAGTTATAACTCTACGTGCTGCTTTCTGTAACATATAGTAATTTTTAATTTTGCTCAAAGAGCTTATTTATTGGTTTCACACAATTCATGCATTTAACAGCGGTTATTTCTCTAATCATTATTACCCTAGTGATATTTGTTTTGGAGACTTTTTTTCGAAATGAACTGTTAAATATGATTTGAATGAACTTATTGTTTGAAATATCCACGTACTCACGTAATTACTTTTATAATTACGTTGGAATATTGATGTTATATTTTATTACATCCATGTTTGCTGAAAGTGAATTTTTATTAACAGTAATCATTACAGGAAAGCGGGAGTTTAATTTCAAATGGGTAAGTTAAAATACTTAACTTAACACTTGTCATTACATTCTGCATAGAATAGTTGCATACACAGATTCGGGAATAGAAAAAGAGCTGTGATTATTCATTACAAGACAAATTTAGAGTTTAAAATAAAATATTTAATCATGAATCGGTAACTTTCATTTCACACGTCAAAAAATTGAAAGCTACAGAAAGAGTACATTATAAGTGAATAATTTCAAAGTACGAAGGTCGATTGCGTATTATAATATATTATGTAATATTGTACAAAATATATCATTTACAAAGCAACCAAAAACCAGTCACGTACTCCGGTATAAAAGTAAAATTAGAAGCAGGTTTTCCCCCATGTGATAGACTGTTATATTTAGGTTGTGTTTTAAATAGAACATTCTGTATTTTCAGATATAGTTTTATTAGGAATTCTAACTTGAAATATGGGCCATACAGCCTCTAACTGGAATTATTCTCAATACCACGTCCTCAGGAATAAAGTTACGAAAGTCGGGAGCTAACCATTCACCTTCATCTGGTGCTGAGTTTAAGAATGCGTGGAGCTACGCCTCCACTGTATCATACAATATTTATCACTGTGTTTCTCTGAGATTATAATCATGTGCTACTTTTTAGTTACAGCTTGAATGTCATCTAAACACCTCAGTATATTCTTAGTCTCGTAATATATTTCCGTCAAGAAATGGTCGACGCGTATGTCGTAACAAACCTCCCAGAATATCCTATTCATTTAATGAGCAAATTAGTATCGATTTTGACGAAAGCCTCATGCTTTCTTCACAAATAAATATTGTTTTCGCCTCCAACCCATCCATCATGAAATACACAGAGTAAAATTTATATGATTTCTGCCTTAATGGTGCTTACCATTAACTACAGTTGTACAGAACTGCTTAATTCGGCCGCATGTGTCCTTCAAAGACTATATCTATGGCAATAATTTCTAAAGAGGTAATGAAATATTAATTGTATTTTAACACCCGGCGTTGTTTTACTGCTCCCACCCCTGGACAATGTTAACATAAAATAGATAATCTTAGTTATTTACTTCTTTTTTCTTTGTAAGAATTAACAGTAATAATGACAAATATCAGGATCGAATCCCGGACTTTTAGAATCATAGGTTTATATGCAAACCACTAAACCACTGAGGTGTTACTGTTGCGACAACAGTCACATGAAGACAAGAGTAGGGTCAAATTCCGAAACGTCGCGTGTTTCAAACGTACTTTAGGCAATTAACTGTGCCCAATACTATGTCCTATAAACTTAAATAGGCCTCGACCTCTCCTTCCAACCCGTGCCATTATAATCATGGCATTAAATAAAGTGATAATACATTGTGTGAATCTTAATAGAAACTGTTGTTAAGAAATGTTACCACCACCCAAGCAACACCCTATTAGTGACACTCTGTGGACACTCACCGTCTCCTTGACGGTGATGGCAATTTTGTTCACTATTGAAGACGCGACTGTAGGCAGTTAGCTTGGAACAAGGAAATTCCTTCACATCGGTAAGACTAATAAGGTGTGAGCTGACTAGTAGTGACTGGCTTCATACGCTTCCCCAAACCTGTCCTCGGAACAGGATCAAATATCGTGGCCTTTGAGGGCGGAAGTGACGTGAAGTTCCTTGAAAATACGAGTGATTTACAGAGTTCGTGAATTACGTCTGCGGCCCTTTCAAAAGACGATCAAGGGCAGTTTCTGTGATCCGGTCTAAGCGGCTTCGTGGTGTTAGACCGATCATGATAATGAACAAATTTGTATTGTAACGGTTCAATCTGACGGTTTAACTCTCAGTTGAATTAAGTAGTTCAACGGTGTGAATTTCCGATATTCTCAGCGCTAACACAACTGAAGGAAGCAGATATTGTATGAATACCGTACAACGGTAATTCAATTCAATTCAATTCAATTCAATATTAATATTAAAATAAAAGTAAAAATTAAGTAAAATTTCAGTTTCTCGCTGTGATATGATGGTGGTTTTCTTCCGGATTGTAGCACCGTATAGTCTGTTAGGAGTTTACCAATGTTTTAGAGGTCTTTTATCCTCCATCATCAGGGTGATTACTAATCGAAATTATAATGGAGGCAACACGTACTTCTGAAACGTAGGCAGTCTTCTACCAAACTACACGGCGCTACAACTCAGAAGACAGCCATCTACAAGAATAAACACTGTTCAAGAAGTGATTCTCTAAGCAATAAAAATATAGAGATAATATAAAAATTCTAAAATACGTTTCTTTTTAAACGTTGCCCATCTTCTTGACTTGTCACTATGGCAGCTCCATTTCGCAGAAGAACGCGTAGCGGGTATTGCAAGGCAAGTCGTTCAACAGGCCTTCGCGGGTCACTCCCCCGCAGTCTTGATCGGGATCAATTCCAATGGCAGCATTGTTTGGCTGTCCGGATGTGAAGACATAATAACCCGTGCTGTTTAAAGGCTGTCCTGTGACAAACAACGATAACATAAGTTTGTCCATTAAGTAAAGCCAGTGGATATTTCACATATTATCGTACCATAATTGAATGTAAAATTTGCTTGTTTACGTACGAGTGACACATGATTAGTTTTCGCCGGGTTTAAAGTCCAGTACTGAGATAGTACATTAAAATATTTTCGGAGGTTATTAACGACACTTGTGTTACTAATTCGGATGTTTTGTTGAATGCAGAAAAGTGTAAACTATTAATTGTATATGTCACATCTGTTTATCATTTCCACTAATACAAATGACCAACATCTGAGAGTTTCCAGACCTAACCTTACAGATCTTAACAGTCGTCATCTTCAGTTTTAAGGTTCATAGAAATGTTTATTCGAAAGTTAAAAGTATGTTTATGATTTATCTTCATACGAAATTTTACTTAGCTAACAGCAGTTGCTCTTATTTGACATCGTACTGATATCTGTATATGGTTTTCGCATGACAGCCATGTTCTTGTTTTACACTACAACACTGTCATTTTGACAATTTTACATTGACCTGCATTACATGGTGTTTTTTATCTTATACTAAAAACTGCCAAAATGCTTGTCCGGTTTCGTTCTGAGTTTAGCAGAACTAGATTTAATGTTTTGATCTCGGTTACTTCGTATGATTTTAAGGATTTGATAAAACTGGTAACGCTAAACCACAACGTGTATCACACAAATATTAGCATATAAGTCTAATGACCAACTTTAATTCACTTTATTAATTTAAGGGACGATAGAGGACTTCGTCCTTTCAGTATAATGTGTTCAAACTTTAATCACGACACTTTTATTACTTAATTATGTGTGTTTTATTCGTTTTAACATATTTTGAGGTGGATGTTTTATTGACTGGCTGCATAAATTTTTAAGTGTACCTTCGATTCCTTTGACAGATTTTAACATGTGGCACTATCATTTGGATTCTGCTCTCTCTGTTTACAACGCACTGCATTTAAGCACGCAACAGATGGCTATCGTACTCTAGAAGCACGCATTAAGCAGTTCTTGCCCTTGGTTTCGTGTTAAATGTGACGCGTGCATATTCGAACGTATATTATTGGATTTTAGAAGAGTGACGTTCTTATGCAAGAAGTTACGTGAATTTAATGTGTAATGGGAATTCCTGCTTGACTGCATGTCTGCCCAAAAGTTTCAATTTTAACACTCGATAGAATTCTTTGAAATTTCTATATTGTGAATCTACGTTAAGAATCTTCCGAATTTAATTTTTATGTACACCGACTAATAATAGCCACAATTTTTCATAGAAGTAAATTTGAATTATATCCAATTTACCAAGAAAGTCTCGTCGTGCAAAATATTAGTAGGTTTACCTAATATAAAGATCCACAACTTTGATCCGGAACACTATTTAGCAAGCGAGTAAGAGACGAAAATACAAGGAATATATTCTTGTATCTGTGCAGTATGATATTTATAATGTTATCACTTTTATAACAATTAGACACGTAAGATATTAAAATTAATGTAAATGATGTACGCAGAATACTAAAAATCAATTTGTGTATTCTTCTCTACAAACTTTTAAACTATTATTTATTTACACGAACCTCAGGCTCCTTTTATTATGAGAGATGAGATTAAGAAGAACGAAGCGGGGCATGCTGGGTACATGCGGAAATTAAGAACTGTATACAAATTTTAGTTAGAAAGCCTAAAGGAAAGACATCAGTTGGAATTCCTATATGAAGAATGGAAAATAATATTGATGTAGATCTTAGGAAATAGTTTGGAAGGTATAGACTGGATTGATCGGGCTCAGGATAGGTATTGGAGGCGGATAATTTTGAGTGCGAAAACGAATCTCCTAGTTCCATAAAAGGCAGGGAATATTTTGACTAGCTGAGCGCACAAGTGACTTCTCAGGAAGGAATCTCCGTTGCGTACTTAGTTAACTGATTAGTTATTCAGTTGGTTGCTTGGTTTATTTGACCAACGCGCTTTAAAGAAATAAGAATTATTTCGTTATAAGTAACATTAGCGTAGACGATTTCTGTCTTAATGGGTTGTTGCGCTGCGATTCATCGCCCTGATGATGGAGGCAGTATGACCTCTGAAACGTTGGTAAACATCGACCAGACTACACGGCGCAACAACCCAGAAGACAGAAATCTTCATACTCATCTTTGTGAAAACCTCAAATCTAACATTAGTGTTGTTTATAAACTGAACTTGCCCAATATAGTTTCATATTGTCCCTCGTTGTAGTGGTCATGATACCCGAGGAAGGCGTGGTTGTTGTCCGTGCTGCTCTTCACTTCGAGATACCTCGCGAATAGACCCTTGATAAGGTTGGCCTCCGCTTTCGAGTTTATGATGGCTAGATGGGCTCCTTCTTGCATGCAGACGCTCAGTGCATCTTTCCAGATGTGACCAGTAGGATGAAACTTGTAGTAGCCCATACGAGGAAATAGTTCGTATCCAGGTGTGGGTGGTTCAGGTGGTGCTGCAAAGCAGAGCTTTGTTGGCATGAATTTCAATGAAATAGTCGACGTAGTAAATATAAATGCCGTTTATGAAATATGCGTTTGATCGATGTCTGAAGAAAACCATTTGCATAAATAAAATCGAGGAATAAATAAAAAAACACTTTTATAAAAAAAAAACAATTACGCGGAGGTAATTAGAGAACACTTTTATCAACAACAAAAAACAATTACGCGGAGGTAATTAGAACCCGGTTATAAAATGAAAGGTCCTGGAACATTTTATGCTGTAAATTTCCCTGATAAAGGCTTAAAAATACGTATGTTACAATAAATGTATAACTTGTAGAAAGTCTGCTAGCATTTAAAGTCAAAATAATTTTACTGATGAAAATGTTTTAAAACAATATTTTTACAGTTACTAGCTTGTTACTCAGAACACATTCAACATTTGTAGAATCTATTAAAGTTGTCCCTGTTTGTTGAGTATTCAGAACGCTGGTTTAAATTAAATTTGTATTGTCTTGGTTCCGTTATCTTATGACTGAAAAAGTTCAACCTACTTTGCATTCAGACATTTATTTTAATTGCATGTCATTAAGCAGCCGTTTGTTCGTAACAACAAGTCTTGTAAATTTGTGCAATATTGTATCTATTAGTCATGTCCTGTCATATTATAATGACCACATGTTTCGGTCGTATGTGTCCACTTTCGGGTCTTTGGTTGACTTCACAAATTACATCACATGTTTCAGCCGCGAATATATAAATATATTTATTATTTAAAATTCGCTATAACCTGCAAAGATTCTCAGTATCAAACGGGTCGTTAGGGTGTTAGTATTATAACCACCTTTTGAGGAAAATGTCAGGCTCCAGCGTTTTTCATGTAAAGTGGCAAAAGGCAGTCGCAGACAAGCATTGTATCCTCTGAACAAAAATTAGATATGTTTCGTCTGAGCTAACCTGTTCAGTGGAAGTGTTCAGTTATTCCTGTACCTGTTAAAGTCGCAGTTAGGTTGATTCTTTCCTGGCCATTACAAGAGATGACGCTTTGTTCCAAATCTACTTCCCATGATGACCTCTCGTCCGTCTTACGCCCATCATGTATCAGTTGTAACTGAATATAAAATTCATAAACTCGCTGAAATACATGCTATGTTAAATCACGGCCGTTAAATCGATAAACTCTGACTATATAACTGGTACATTGCATAAGTTATTAATAGTACTTATCTATAAACATATAGCCTATATGTCAGCATACAAATTCCAGTTGTCACATTACAATGATTATTCCTCTGTATTGATCACAGTGGACATTTGTTATCTGTTAATTTTAGTGAAAGCAAAACTTTGTTTGGAACGTGTATTACTACACAAAATTAACAAAACCAGACGCAGCAATGCTGTTACTGTTAATATCTCATAACTTCACTCGACTGCAATGTTATTGTTAATGGCAGAGAGTTAGAAAGCACAAAGAAGGGACTGTCTCCAGTTGTGTACTACCCTTACCGATTTTCACGAAAATGGGATTATAATTTTGTAAAATACTGACTGGCCTATCCGTATGTCAGTAAGAGAACAGACATTATTACACTTGAAAACAAAACATCAGAAACGGTTGTCCAGCCCTTTTGACTATTATCTCACTTAATTTCGAATATATAGCACTACTCAAGCACTATTCTAAAGAATCCACCTCGAATTTGAGTGTTTACGTATTGTGAGTTTTATATATCAGCAATTTAATCTTACAATAGGACTACTGATTAAACTAAATTAAAAACGACAGATAAATTAAAATTAAAATAATTTCCTGAAACGGATATTACGCATAAAAGAGAAATTTGACGGTATTATTTTTTATAACTCTGTATGCGTGCGCAGTTGCTTTGCTGATATCCAAAAATTTTCTGTGCTACATCGAAAAGAAGGGAAACTATAATTTCATGTGTAATAGAACTTAAAATATATCGTTAACCTATAAGAATTGTTAATTATCTGTGCAGAATTAATATTGCTTTAGTTCATTGTTAGTAATTAATTTTACTGCTGGGTGGATTTTTTCTAATGGTACTAATGACACTTAAGACTGTTCCATTACAAAGTAAGTTAGAAACATTTTAAGAAATATATATGACTACAAGACGTACGTGGTTCGACTCATGTAACGATTATATTTGAGCCGTTATTTATCGTAGTGCAGACGTCGATGATCAACAATCTAAACCCGACAAGGCAGTGTATAGTCCTCTGGGGAAAAAAATCTACTGGTTCCATTCGAAAGGAATATTGTTCAGAACTATAGAATGCAGTTGTAATAGTTTGTCACCTGGGCTGTCCACTGGCCTGTTGTGTTCTTCTGACTGACAAGTGAAAACTTCATGGAATTTGAACGAGGTTCAACACAGTTGGAACCTCGATCAGCAGAAACAGCTAAAGCTAGGCCAAACGTTGCGAACACAGCAAATCTCATTCTGTTCCTGTAAAATGCGTACAAGGTATTTGTATATTACCGACATAACAAAACCAAACACTGTCTTTAATTTAGAGAGATACGATGTTAGTATACCGGCAACAATCCAGGCTTGTGTACGAGAGGAATCCGATTGTGATTTTGGTCCCGGTGCGGACTACCATGACCGTGGTTTTGCGTGGTGTTATTCGGTTTCTCCCGGTGATCGCTGTGATTTAACCTTGGTAGAGATCACTGCCACATTCTTTAGAATCGTAGCTGATGTAGGCGTTAATCTTTTAGGATGCTGAGCCACGTATGCTCATACAAGTCGACCAACGGTTCAGAGGTCGGTCAACTTACGCTGTACATATCCCAAAAGGCTGTCATCTTGAAACTCGCCGTGTTAAAAGCCTGACATTTCACTTGTTACTTAAGGATATGTTTACGATATCTTTAATCATTCGTATACGTATGTTTCGGACGGTTCAGAATGTACGTTTTCTCCCATTTTCTAAATTACGATATTTAGTATATGCTCCTAAACGTATTTATTTCTATAAAAATGCTTAGTCTATACCCCTAACCTACAGACTAACATAGATTTTTATAAGAAATTTAAAACTCCAGCCTAAGTTTAGTTGTCTGTATTTTACTTTTATATTTAATCCAGCTATTTTCCCCACTTACTGCCTACATTAGCCACTAGTATTATTGAAATCTGAGTTATCTCGTTTATCGTCCGTAATTTTAGTTTACGTTCCATCATTACGCCTGATTATCTTTCCTTCTTATTCGACAGTTAATAATCCTTGAAGCAGAATAGTGTAATTGATAAACTTAAGAAAGCCTCATCTTATTTCATGATGCACTTATAAAACTAAAACTCTTTTACTGCAGTGAATAGATAGTGCTAACGAGATAATATTGTTTCAGATTCGATTCCATCCGTTCTAAAATCGTGAGTTATTAACTCCAAATCCTAACTCATAATCGTTGGGTTCTTTAATGTAGCCCTACATCGGGGTCAGCCAGTTTTATTCCTGTGAAATCTTACATGCGACTTTTAAATTTTTAAAATTTCTTTCCATGTTTTTTTATTACATCAATATCGGGTCACACATTACCCGTTTTACTAGATACATTTTATATGCACAAATTTATCTTCGCATCTTCAGTTGATTGTCGTTGCACTGACAGAATTTCACATTGTTTCACTTTTTAAATAATGGCAACGGCTGAGAGAGAACTCAGAACATTCTAAATACTAAGCCGGTATGCTAATATGATATTTCCCAACCTTTCTAGTACCACGGATCCCCCCCCCCTTTATTACCTCATACATTTTGATTAACTGGAAAATTGACCAACGAAATATAGAAAGAAGTTACAATTTATTCGTGTTTTTTCTCTTTAAAGTGCAAGCAAAGAAGTATGATGAAAAGGCTTAATCTTTGCAGCAATACAGCGTCAAGAAATATAATAGGGTAGAATATACTCAATTCGCAGACCCCTTAGGCAAAACCTGAGGGCCCCGGTTAAGGAACACGAAACAATGAACCACCGGGGAAGCCGATCTGAAACCCACAAATAACGACAGCGTAGAAAAAAAAATTGGGCTTAAATAAAATGACAAACCGAGTAGATCTCAGCTCTTACCTGCAGTGTAATTAAACGTGTTCTTCTCTATCTCAAAAAACCTCATCTGCAGCTGGGTATGAAATTTGAAAGCCTCTATTGCAAAAACAGAGTGATAATGTTCCATTGTGCTCACAATTTGCCTTTC